ACGTTTCGGTCCATGAAGTCATATACGTCTTAGCTCAACACCGCGACTGGACCTCGTCAGTATGACCGTCGCAGTGTTCAGAGATGAGAAGAAGAGAGAATGGAAGGCAGGAAGAAAGAAGAAGATAGGAACGGGGAGAATTTTTTAAAAACTATAAATTTAGTGTATTTGAAAAAGATTAGAAGGTTGTAATGTAGAAGTGGAAAAGTGTCGAGAGAAGAAAGTAGCAATATGAACTGATCTCTAACAACACGACTTATACGTGCATGTTGGGTGGAACAGCTACTATAGAACAGCGTGTATCCGACGTTGACAGTGGGCCTCCGTAGAAGGGAAATATTTAGAAAGATAGTATGCATTTCTGTACGCAAATGTGTTGACCAGGCGACTAATGTTATGAGAAGAAAGTCCCTTGATGGAACTCAGTTTTGTCAGGCCTGAGAATAAACCGTATCTGAATTACAGCTGAGCGATCAAATTTGAAAAGCGTGGTGAGAGTTCAAGTGGCAGAAGGGTCTGGCTAGGATCAAATATCGGCAACTCACATCTGAGGTCTCTGACAAGGCTTTAAAATTTCGCGCACATGTACCCGTTGTAACTCTTGAGCGGGCTTACCAGAATGCAAGAAGGTAACTGCTTTGAGCAATAAAAATTCCTTCTTATCCAATTTGGCTCTGTTTAAGCTCTCAATTATTACCGACATTCCAACATTTTCCTCATCCGATCTGCAAAAGCATTTGAGGTAGAAATACTTTTTCAAATCCCTATATTATGATAAATTTTATTAGAAAAAACGTCCAAGTGACAATGAAAAAAAGTATTTTGTCAGCACATTTTCTCCCAGAACGCTCCTTTCCCTTTCTCTGCCCTTGCCTCCCCACTGACAAATCAGTGGCATTGAGAAAACTCGTTATATCATTGTTCAAGGAACAATTATTTATCGCTTCGGATGCTCTGTCTAGGTCTGCAACAAAAAAGCACTATCAAAAGCGAAAGTTACGTACTGTGATGGTTGCTTCTGATTCTTGTGGTTTAGCACTGATGCGCTTTTCGAGCTCGACCTCTCGTACGCTGTTTCCAGCAAAAGCAGCACAAACGCAACATCACGTAGAAGCACCACCTGCAAGTTTGGCACTTTGTAATATTTAATAAACACAGTATAAATGACTGAGAAAAAAAGGGTATTTTTGCACTGCTTGCACGGGTGCATCCCACTTAAGCGCACACTATATCTAAGGAGTGTGAAAATGAAAAAAGACGCAAAAAACTGGTTTACTAGGCACTAAATTTCATTGAAAATGCGCAAATCAAGAGCCAAGATGGCGTAAAAGCCAGCTGCAGCAGATGTCAAAACGTGGTGGAAAACAAACAATCATTTTCGAGGAAGCCAAATTTCAAGGGGTTAACTGAGGGACAAATAAAGTTAAAATTAAAACGAGCGATGAGCTCCATTTCCTGGATTCCAATATCCTTCTACTTGCAGATCCTAGTTATCCAGAAACTAATAAGTGTGCATGATACAACGGTAGCATATTCCTAAGGGAAAAGGAAAATATTCGTTGATATATTTTTAACGGCTGGGTTTTATGTCCCATTTGCAAATGGATGTTTTGCATTTTTTATCAAAAACTATCCACCTGCACCAGCTGCGATCTCAGTTGCTTCTCTGTGAGTTTTTTCTTTTTCCACATTAACAGATTTCTTCGATAAAAATTATTCCTCGAAAAAAGCGTTGTTCTCATTTCGGAGGGACGCTTATTTCTCTTGCAAAAACACCTCGCAGGTGTCTTCCCAGACACATATTTTGTACAAATTTTCCCAGAAAAAAATATCAGCATATGAAAAAACAGCATAAAAGCTGCATACTCTGTCGTTCTGTTTACTTGCTTCCAAAGGTTGATATGTGTTTTAGAAAAACTTACAAAAAAATGTGAGTCCGAAGACACTGGGTTCAGTTGTGCTGCTGGAAAAGAATGAACTGCCCCTTATCAACCTACACTTATTTAATCTTTGCTACCCACCCCTATGTTTGACCAGTCCCGCCTCCCCTTCCCCTCCCCACCCACCAAACATTATTCTTTATTCAAATTACGGAGTGTAAATTAGAGCACATCTGGATGACGCTTATTTCTCTTGCAAAAACATCCCGCAGGTGTCTGACAGAAGCCAGAATCACAAAGGTGGAAGAACAGTGAGTCGCTCTCGAGTTGAGGAATACTAGAATCAAACGCTGTCTGGCAACTGTTTGAAAGAACGTTCAAATCATCGGCATATAAATCGATTTCGAGGACAAATTACTCAAATATCCTGAAGATAAATTGTGCACAGAAATATACAGGAGCTGGGTTCAAATCTAACTGAGGACCTTATCCTGGACTGGCATCCACTGGAAGAAATCGAATGTTTTGGCGTACTCCACAGCAACAGCCAACTTCTGGTTCAGCACTGCCGCTGGGCCATTGTTTGAGTAATTCTGTGGCTGAAATCAACTGATTACGTCATCTGAAGGTACACCATCTGCATCTCATTATCGCAGTCCTCAGCTACAGTATTCATCCTTTCAGTGTTCAGAGATCTGTTTTTTGATCGAAAGTAAAAGGATATCCAGTAATTTTTTTTTTCTAAATCAACCTATTACCATTTGCTGCACTGCCACTAAAATTTGTTGATAGGTTTTTTTGTTGATAATTTATGAGCGTACAAGATTTGTTTCCACTGTGAGAATAAGCCAACATCTTGAAGCTCAGAATTCACAACAGGGAGTGGCACGCAGTGGCCTGGTATGTGCCTGAGGGCTTCCAGCTAGCTCAACCCTTTAAATATCCGCACTAGTTGTAAGGACTGCCTCCATAGTAAGAGTATTTTTTCTGTCTCAGATTCAGAAAATTCTAAAATTCTGAACTAAACTCGACCAAATGTTCCAGCAAATGAAAACAGTGAACGCAAAGTTACTTTGTAATCACATTTGTGTGCCTCTGGAGTTGCTGCTGTGACTGGTGGTCGTGCTAGCAGGTCGAGCATTGAGATGGAACCATCGCAGTCTTTCGAATCCAACATTTCGCTGATATTTTCCTGGGCACGGACGAGCTGTGAGATCAGCTGCAAAGACAATGTTTTTTTTTCGTGCCAATACTTTTAAAAGAGTCTGACACAGCTGCTTCCAGTATGGAACATAAGATCGGAATTCCGCACTCACTGCATGAGCAGTTCTGGTAAGATGGTGTAAGGCAAAGAAATTTTGTCATTTCATGTGTTTTGTTCGCAGCTTTTTATGTTTCGAACATATTTCAAGTTTGCACCTATTTTTTAAGCTTCTTTGCGAGCCACTTTCATCGGAAATTAGGCTTTTTTTATAACTCACTTTTCAGATTCTTTGGAAAAACATAGTTTCTTTTTTCTTAAGTTTTTGCAACTTACTCTTTCATGTTTTTCTGAAATGAGGCACTCTTTTTTGATGCTCTCGCGAACACCGAATGTGACTTCACTTCTTGAAGAAGGCGATAGTGATAACTGCGGGCGCCTAAAACGATTAGAATAACAGTTTACGCAAAAGCGGTGCATCCATAGTAAATGCATAGCATTCTAATTATGCGAGGAGTAAAAGCGTACCTGGAATTTTCATCAGCGCCCGGCATGGCACCTGAGTTCGGGAAGTCAAGAAGGGCAGAAATAGTATAAGCTCGTTTGGATGTCGATTCACTGTCCGGACTGGCCGATGAACGTTTGCGACTGGAATCTTTGGACTGTGGAAACAGATGATTTAGCTCTTTCTCTGACGAATTTGAAGTGGAAGCATGATGATGAGGTATCTCGGATTCTGAGGACGAATTCGATGAGGTAGTTGACGGAACCGCTTCTTGCGGCGACGCTATGCGCCCTGTGCGATTACACTGAATTGCTGCAATTTTGCAAAGTTAAGAAATCTTAACGATTCAAAAAGTGGCTCGTTCAGCGGTAAATTGACAAACTTGGTTATTTCAGATAAAGATTTATTGGTTCTCTCTGTCAAAGTGAGGTGAAATTGTTGAACTGTTACTAGAACAGTACATCATTTCGGTTGGGCTCACTAACTCCTCCTCTTCGCGTACAGTTTTTCCACAAGGGATTCATCGGTACAGCTACAGTAACCACTCGCTCCTAAAGGCTCTCCTCCCAAAACTGCTCAAAAGTCAAAGTGGACGTAAATAAAGTTCCCAGCAGCATGCTACTACTAATTTGCCATTGAAATAGAGCAACGGAGAATGAATGCTTCTGCAGAAACACATCCCAAAGCACCGATTACAGAGTAAAAGTGGCGGCACGGGGAGGCCAGAAATGAATGTAACAGGAATTTTGATGGATTAAAAGTGAGCAGTTTTTCAAAAAAACCTTTTGGATTCATTCCGACGGCAACACATTTGTCGAATCTGCAAGCTCGGCAAGCACATCGCATGTCTGAAAACCAATAAGCAGCACCATTAATAACTCGATTTTGGATATGGGCGAAACAAACGCATTCCTCATTTTCCTCAAATACTTTCTTACTCTTCACGTACGACAGTTTAATCAGTTTTTTCTTCTTTCATATATGCTATAATTCAGAGATGAAGTGATGATACTCAATGTTTTACATCAATGGTATCTAGAAATAACTAAATAAATGCATCTGTCGGAAAAATCCTTGCGTTGATAAGCCCTTCAGGAAGCAAAGGGAATGTCAGGATCGCCAGCAGGCTGACTGCCAGCAGAGCAACTGGAAAACTTGCCAGTTGCGTATTTGGAGAACCAAGCTATGAAGTAGAGTTGATCAAAGTATTAAAGTAAGTATTTTGATATGCATTTCGTTCCCCCGTTCCGTATAATCAGATATTGCTAGGTATCCAGAAATTTTCTGCGATTTTTGTATAGAATAAAAACAGAAGAAAATGTAACGACATATCTACCTGCATAAACAAATGGGTACATAAGTTTGCGTAGGCTCACATGAACAAAGCACATACAAGATACAAGGACAAGCAATTACAATTTGAAATACGGATACACACTCGCATGGACAAGCGCAGGCACACACGTAGGGAAAAGCGCGGACACACACGCACACGGACAAGCACGGACACACACAAACAGAGAAGAATGGGGATGGTGAAGAAGGCAATTATAAATTTCTGCAAGAATTACCTTTGTCAAAAGTGCAGTTGCCATTCTTGTGACACTTGTAGATTCGATTGGCGACCAGTGTACGGCGGAAGAAGGTCTTGCTGAAAGATGCAGCCAGTAGTGAGTAGTGACGGCCGATGTGATTTAATTACTCTCCA